CCATTAACTCTAAAGAGAAACAGAACTTTTTTTTTTTGGGGGGGGGGGGGAGCTGTTATATTTTCTGGATCAAAAGTTTGATACTAAAAATTATTATGAAACTTAGTAGGCAACTCATCCCCAGAACAGGCCTAAGCAGTACGGGTATCGGGTGAGTGTCAAAAGCGGGCCCAAGAGCCGTAGGCGTAGACTTTATCTACACGTATCACATCACGCTAAATGGCCTCGCTCACCTCTAATGCTGTGAACCTTACGCAGGTACTGGCATTACTGTATTTGGAAACTGGAAATGTAATGTTAAGCGCTTTCATGGTAATTGGTATCATATAAATGACAGGAAGGACTTTCAAAGGAGGAACAAGTCCATGTTCATGTGAACTGGTTTCCGAAGTTGACGGTGACAAAGGAAGCTCCTATCGCGGGGCTCCCCTCAGGTGCGGGGCGGTTGCCCACTCGCCACCCCCAAAGGCCGTCTCTGTCATCCCCATGCTTGTCTTACTTTTGAACTGTGTAAGTCATTGCAACTATTTGTCCTCTCAGTTATTCAAACGAAATGTATTGACAAAAAGAACAGGAAAGGTTTCTGCAGCAATGGGAAAACTCTCCAAGCGCGTTTGGGAAAATACGACCGTCGGCCGAGAACAATGGAGCGCGCTTGAATGGAGAGGGTGTCCGTTCAAGGGGCGCAACTCTCGTTCAAGTAGAATGAGTAAAGGGGGAGATAATTCATATATCTTCTCTAAGCGCAGTATTAGTGCGCTAGTAAAATTATCACGGCAGTCAGCCGAGATAAAGGAAATAAACTAAGATGTACAAATATATACATGGTTGCATCAACGATCAATTGAGCAACGTAGTACTAATAGAATAATGCAATACTTAAATACATACATAAGACATGTTTATGTTTTCTACTTACGACAGTGAGAAATACACAATGCACTAATTAAATACAAATGAAATAATAAAATACACATGATAATATCCAGTGAGAAATATACACAAAGTTATTAAGTGGAACTTGTGATTAAGTTCGGCTTACCAGCAGGTATTCCTCTAGGAGTGAGAATAAATGATATAGTCCAGACTCGATTGCTCAGATAGAATGAGAAATGAGAGAGTGTCTATTCCGCCTTATTCTACCTTATATAGGCCGTGAGATATGGGCGAAAACAGGAAATGTCCTAGGCTAAGAATTATCTTACACGTGGGTGAATCCGACAAGAGTCGCACCTGGGAGTGCCACGAGGCGTGTTGACCCTAGTAATCTCAAAGAGAGACGTGGAAGAGGGGGGGGGGGGAAGATTGGTTTGCATTCCACCCAAGGTGGTGTCAACAGAGATTGTCAGTCATCCGGCCGGTAAGACCAAAGAGATTGCGTGTTTATCTTTCCCCGATCAAGGGCAGATAAATGAAAGGACGCCAAGGTGGTGGACCCAGTCTAGCCTGAAGAGGAAAAGGTGGGGCGGGTGGAGAAATTGGGGATAGAGCTGAGAAATAATTAAAATAAAATAAATAAATAATAGTAAATAATGATTAATGCGGTGATAAATTTGAGTGACTCTGACAGCAAGCTTTTGACTTGTCACATACGGCAACCAAAATCCTGGTCTACAATGCCTGCATTCTGAGTACACTTCTTTATGGCAGCGAGAGCTGGGCAACTTACATGCGTCAAGAACACAGATTAAATAGTTTTCACTTACGCTGCCTGCGATACATTATGTGTATCTCCTGGAGTGATCATGTCTCCAACCAGGACGTTTTTAAACGGGCCAATATGCACATCACCTTTGCTCTTCTGACACAGAGAAGACTATGCCTGCTCGGAAATGTCACCCGCATGCCAGATAAAAGAATCCCTGCATGTCTGCAAGCGAGACATGCGAAACACAGGCATCAACGAAAGTATGTGGGAGGAGATAGCCCAAGACCGTACAGCATGGAGACAGACTGTGCCGGTACGAACTTCGCAGAGAGCCAAAGAAATAAAGCTGCGTCAGTAAAGAGAAAGAAAAAGAAAGCTTCCCAGTCAGTGTCACGAGTCGAGTCTGTGACCTATTTCGACCAGTTTCTAGAAGCTCAAGTTCAACCAGTGCAAGTGTCCAGCGTAAACAAGTTAATTTTAGATATCCAATCGAAGAAAGAGGTTAAGGGAAAAAAATAGCACACGTCAGCTTCTAGAAGGTCAAAGTTACTAAAATAATTATCGGAGAAGGTTCCAGGATTCTGGAATGTACGATAAAAGAAAGTATAAATTAAGGGAAAGTGAGTTAGACGGGGTCCTCGCAGAGTAGTAGTTCTTGTAGAGCGTTGGTTCTCGCTCAGTAATAAGTTTTATGATATTAGCGGGTCCATTAAGTAAAGTTTTAGTAGTTGAAGTGGAAGTTATACTAAGTGAAGTTTTATGTATCATTTAAGTTTTATTTATGAAGTATCAAGTCAAGTTGTTATTGAATTAAGAAGTTAATTTTGATGTGAAAGTTTGAAGAAGTTATTAAAGAAGTTTGAAGAAAATACAGAGAGATGTTTCTTTCTTCATTTCATTGAATTGTCAAGTATTGAGAATATAATCCCCGGCAAATGTGCTCGTCACAGTCAGCTAGCCGTAGGATAGATGCATATACAAGCACGAACTGTGGCAAACTCTGCCTCTCCAGAATTGGTTTGATCAGTCACTCCAGGTTCTTCCCGTCTCAAGACAAAACCAAATCTACTGACTCAACTGGGACTATCCATTATCTTCCGAGACAGAAGGAGCCAAATATTAATATAGGCTTTTCTGCTTGGGTTCCAGCACGAAGTTGTCTGGTCGGGCCCACTTTTGACTACTACATGATAACTTCAAACAGTTGATTTAGCCTTAAATTTTTTGGTGCAATTAAATGTTTTATTGTTCAATGCTTTTTTTTTTCCATTCTCTATTATAGAAATATTTCAAGAAGAGTCAACTAAAAAAGGTGAAATTGGCGGCAATGTGTATTGGTCAAGAAATGAGGTTTGTAGTAGGCCTAATGTAGTTGGATGAGTCAATGTTTTAATCTTTGGGGTGCATAAACTAGATTTACAATGTATTGCATGCTTTTGTAACGCATTTATTGATAGTAACAACTGAAGGGATAAGCCGTACCGTACAAAGAATCTCAGTTGATATTTGTATAAGGAAGCTCGCGTATTTCATTAACCCTTAAATGCATTTTAGAGTTGTCATTAACTGAAGCCAAATCATGCTGTGGAAGAAGCTGTTAGTTATGGTAACCAACTAAAACAAAAAGTGAAAAAGGACAGCGTCAAATAATGAAAAGTAAAACAAAACACATCAACTATTGTAGTAACATTAAATAGAAAGAGGTTTTAAAGACCATTCTTCCTTTATAAAGCTGATGACTTTTTGCAAGAGCGATTAGCCTACTTCACTTCACTCGTAATAACTCATGAATTATGACTATTCATTGCTATTCCTGTTAGCTAGCAATGTCTTCATGAGTGGCTGGTAGAAACTGGAAGTTGGACGGGTATATCGAAAACATGACTTTAGAAACCCAGTTGCGACCTACATTTTCTGTCCCATCTGATGCAGAGAGAGCCGTGGTCGAAGCCATAGCATAAGAAGAGCGACAAAACACAAAGAAAAGGCAATTCACAATTCTTAGTTTTTTTGTTGAATATTCCGGACCTAGTCCTCACGAGCAGATAAGAAGAAACAGGAATGCAGAGCCTAGCCATAAGCCTCCTGGATGGTGGGAGTAGTAGTCTCGACTATGATGGAAGAAATTTGAATAGGAAAGATTTACACTGCTGATTGCAAAAGTAAAGTGAAGTGTTTGGTTTTGATGTGTGCATTTATAAGTTGTATTCAATGAATGAAACTAGTGCATCTCTTTATTTTCAGATGCTGAAGATGTCTATGTTATTGTGAGTCATCTCATAAGACAGATTAAGCATCTAAAATTTGGAAACTTAGACAATCAGATGTAAAAAAAGAAAAAGCACTTCCATATCATTTCCCCGTATTGATCATCTTTTTACAATACCTCTATTCAAGTCACTCCTTCATGGAACCTGGAGGGATACTATTCCCTAACGACTTTCCTATAAATTGAACAGTTGATATATATCGCTACACGAGGAAAACTCTAGCTTGAAAGTTATAATTTTTCAAATTAAAAAATAAATAAATGTAAATTTGGCTAGAGACTAAATCTAGATCTAGATCCAACATCTGTTTTGAAAGGACTATCACGTTCGGGGATTTCCAAATGTAAGGCATTGTTGATTCAAGAGTATAATAAAGTAAATTTAGTTCAGCATCCGTGAAGCCCCGATTCAAAGGCCTATCATTGGAATTATTCAATATTTTTACGTAAATGTAATATAGATTACATTTAGATGCTATACTAGATCTTAAAGTTCTAAATCGAAACCTTTGTTAGATCTAGATGTCCATATAATGAACATACCAACAAATAATGCCCGCTGGCCGAATCAGAAAAATCGTATGTTCTAGCAGCTGACGGTGTCTGGGGTTCAATACACCAATTGAATCAAATGTTGTTTTTTTAAATATTTTTTTAAAAAATTTTTATCACATTTAAAATTTAATAATGAAGGTATTGTGTTTTAAAAATGTTTTCTTGTTAATTTATTATAATAATGGAATGTATATCTGCACCCATGTTGATTTGAAGCAACTGAATATTAATTGGATGAAAATTGTGGGTTAAAATAGTATATGTTGCTTTCTAAAATGAAATACTTTAATGTGCTTCCATGTGTGTTATTTATTAATTTGGATATAGACTTTAGTGTGCAAATGAAGACTAGCTTATTGTACGCAACATGAATTAGGTAGGAGTTAAATTTGAAAAGAAAGTTTCTCTTAATCCAACCATTATTTGTTCAACTTGTATGATAATGCCCACAGCAACTTTATTTATCTCTTTCCAACACATTATGTGCTTAAATGATTTTAATCGAAAATAAGTTTGACTCCTGGAATCCGCACTGCACAAGTATGGGGCAATTAAACTGCTGGCTCCACTTCCACCCAGCATTAGTATGGGGGTTGCGCCTTAAACTGCTGGCTCCACTTACGCCATGCATTGGTATGGTGTTGGGCAATTAAAGTGCTGGCTCCACTTCCGCCCTGCATTGTTATGGGGTAGGGGCAATAAAATTGCTGACTCCACTTCCATCCTCTCGAAAACGGCTCTAAGGATTTTTTTTAGAAATTTGACAGTATATTGTTGTGGAAAAGAATTACTTCTTATCTTATCTTATAACAATACAGACGTTACTTCAAATAAAAGAAGATGATTACGTCTTGCGCGTCATGCATTTTGTCATGCATATTAACCAATGACTTAAATTCTGCCAAGTCAATGGTTTTTCTGGCTAGCTCAGGTAATCTATTTCATGCTCTAATAGCACCAGGGAAGAAGGAGCATTTGTACAAATTTGTCCTAGCATATGGAACAAGAAATGTGCTTTTATCTTTGTGTCTTTCTGAGTATTTTATTAGCTTTGGTTTCTTGTATTTGAAGGTTATGGTTCAGTGTTTTATGTATAATTGCTACCTTACTTTTGAGTCCACAGTGAAAAAACTCAAGTTTGACAGCTTCAAGGTATAAAAAAATAAATTTAAATTTGGCTAGAGACTAGAAAATATTTATCTGAAACGTCTTCGGCTATTTCTGCATTTAGAGTTCATAAAATTAATGTTCAGTGTTCCATTTTTATTAATTTGCTTAGTAAATCTAACATTCATTGGTTGTTAATGAAAATAATCGCTCTAAAAGATGTATAAAGAATGTATTGTCTTTTTTTTAAAATCTAATACCCCGTATGTTTCTTTGTTTTTTCTGTTTGAATATTTGTCTTGTGAACATTTTATAATGAGATCAATTTGTTCTGATGAAATGTTTCTACATTCTTTTAATGGAAGAGAACATTCCGGATTTGTCGTTTCTATTGTCAACAAGTTTAGGTTGTATACGTTGGAATGGAATTTAAAAACAAAAGATTAAAAAACACACACAAAGACTTTCTCAACAAAGTTGTAGCCGGTACACAAAGACTTTCTCAACAAAGTTGTAGCCGGTACACAAAGACTTTCTCAACAAAGTTGTAGCCGGTACACAGACTTTCTCAACAAAGTTGTAGCCGGTACACAAAGACTTTCTCAACAAAGTCGTAGCCGGTACACAACGACTTTCTCAACAAAGTCGTAGCCGGTTCAATGTATTTATGTCAACACTATTTGGGTGGTGGAAGGAGAAACATTTACTATGAATTATGACCACAGCACAAAGCAATGTGTGTGTAATAGTTTCTAAGAACATACATTGTAGAAATGAATTACATTGGTAATCACACTGTATAAATATAAACAGTAGTCACGTTGTTACTGGTAATCACACTGTATAAAATATAAATGGTATTCACATTGCAGCAAGATTATTGATTATTATATTGTGGAAGTATTATTTGTGACAATACAACATTCACATACAATCGTTTTGGACTAATCACAATCATTTACCCTGTTTTATCATAAAACAAATGTAAATACATTGATGTTGCACTATAAAACAGTGTTCTTGAGATGAATACAAGAGCATGGCATGACTCTACGCTTAATTGAAATAATGACGAGTTCTAATTTGTCTGGTCCCTGGTCATAACACTATGAAACATGAATGCATTACATTGCACTTTGTTTCACATCAAATGATCTTTTTTTATAGGTCAGTGATTTTTTTCCCGTGCATCGTGAAATGCTCACTCAACCTTTCATAAATTGTTTCACCAAGTTTGCCATTTCGTGCATTGCTTCATAGATACCATCTCCGTTGACTGCACATGCGCCTTGAACAAACCACTTCCTGTCTTTCATTTCTCTCAGACCTAGTCTGTCAGCAACTTCTGCTGTGGAAGCAGCTCCAGGCAAGTCTTGCTTGTTGGCCACTACAACTACAGGCACTCCACGCATTTCGTCTGCTTTGATTACATTGAAGAGTTCCTCTTTAGCTTCTAGAAACCTAGACACGTCTGCACTGTCGACTATGAACAAGAGACCCTGAGAAGTGGATTGCAAATCAAATTAGTGTGTGAATCTATGAAAGTAAAAATAATCGATAGATTAAAAATAAGACACGAACACTTCTTTGGTAGATCCAAAATATTAAAAATAGATACATTTGAGAACTTGAAAAAAAGGAGACTTAGTAATTATATTCACTAAAGCTCAATACTTTACATTTGAATTTGTAAAAAGGTTTATTAGACAATTGTTGGCCTCCTAAAGACTTTTCCATGTGACAATTGTTGGCCTCCTAAAGCACACTTCCATGTGACAATTGTTGGCCTCCTAAAGCACTACACTTCCATGTGACAATTGTTGGCCTCCTAAAGCACTACACTTCCATGTGACAATTGTTGGCCTCCTAAAGCACTACACTTCCATGTGACAATTGTTGGCCTCCTAAAGCACTACACTTCCATGTGACAATTGTTGGCCTCCTAAAGCACTACACTTCCATGTGACAATTGTTGGCCTCCTAAAGCACTACACTTCCATGTGACAATTGTTGGCCTCCTAAAGCACTACACTTCCATTTCAAAAGTAGGTTCATAGATTTCAAAAGTAGGTTCATAGATTTCAAAAGTAGGTTCATAGATTTCAAAAGTAGGTTCATAGATTTCAAAAGTAGGTTCATAGATTTCAAAAGTAGGTTCATAGATTTCAAAAGTAGGTTCATAGATTTCAAAAGTAGGTTCATAGATTTCAAAAGTAGGTTCATAGATTTCAAAAGTAGGTTCATAGATTTCAAAAGTAGGTTCATAGATTTCAAAAGTAGGTTCATAGATTTCAAAAGTAGGTTCATAGATTTCAAAAGTAGGTTCATAGATTTCAAAAGTAGGTTCATAGATTTCAAAAGTAGGTTCATAGATTTCAAAAGTAGGTTCATAGATTTCAAAAGTAGGTTCATAGATTTCAAAAGTAGGTTCATAGATTTCAAAAGTAGGTTCATAGATTTCAAAAGTAGGTTCATAGATTTCAAAAGTAGGTTCATAGATTTCAAAAGTAGGTTCATAGATTTCAAAAGTAGGTTCATAGATTTCAAAAGTAGGTTCATAGATTTCAAAAGTAGGTTCATAGATTTCAAAAGTAGGTTCATAGATTTCAAAAGTAGGTTCATAGATTTCAAAAGTAGGTTCATAGATTTCAAAAGTAGGTTCATAGATTTCAAAAGTAGGTTCATAGATTTCAAAAGTAGGTTCATAGATTTCAAAAGTAGGTTCATAGATTTCAAAAGTAGGTTCATAGATTTCAAAAGTAGGTTCATAGATTTCAAAAGTAGGTTCATAGATTTCAAAAGTAGGTTCATAGATTTCAAAAGTAGGTTCATAAATTTCAAAAGTAGGTTCATAGATTTCAAAAGTAGGTTCATAGATTCACAGCTTTCAATATTTGTTGTTATCTCTTTGTAACTGTGTGTTTCGTTTTTGTTTCATAGAGGCACGCAAGTTACACAAAGATGTAGACCTAGACCTTACTATCTTCTTTATCTGGGTATATTGTTGTTTTTTTTTTAGTTTTAAACATGTTTTAATTTAGACCAACTTCTAGGCTACTAGATCTATTGGTTACATTTTTTTTTTAGAGCCACTAATTTAAAAATACTATTCAATAATGTCGACCCTGGGAAGGTACTGGGCTTTATCCGCGAAGTGGGGTTGTCTACGAAGATCTGACTTATGAATTCTGTAGACATGTACTATTTACATTAGATTTTTACCAAATTATTAAATTTTTACTACCTCTACTATTTTAACTGTGAATAGACCTTGATTTTAATGATTTGACTGTATGGAATTTGGCCTTTGCTGTGTGGAGGGAGAGTGGCCCTTGAGGGACTGCAGGCACGACATGGCCTAAATTGTGCCGATGTGCCCAAAATCACAAATCACAAATCACTAAATATCATAAACGTGACGATTTAAATCATTAATGTTGGCAGCTCAGGATTTATAAAGGTTTGGCGTGACTTTTCAAGAAACGAAAGTGGAATGAATCACGTCATTTCCTAGACCTACCTGCGTGTTGACAAAGTAATACTTCCATAACTGTCGAATTTTTTCCTGCCCTCCAACATCCCAGACTGTGAAGGTCACGCCCTTGATTGGGGAAACAGTCTCGACGTTAAATCCAATGGTGGGAATTGTACAGACGTTTTCATTCAATTTCACCTGTAAGTAGGTCAAATCAATCAACTAAGAATTAGGTCTAGCCAAATGAATTAAAACAATAATTGCTTAGATTATAATTAAAAAAAAACAAGATTAGGATTATTGATCTAAAACGCTTGAAATGAAAAGTGAAGACTTTGTTTCTATACATATATCTATGGGGCGAAAGGGGGGGGGGGCGGGTTCTTACTCTCTAACTTTTTATTTTTGTTCTCTTTATCTTTAGAGCTGTCACTTATATAGGTACTAGACATTCGAAAAAATGAAACCCATTGATCGAGAGAACTCTTTAACTGACATTAACTGGCATGAACTATCGTATACATGGAATGTCACATCGGAAAATGCATTTTCTCTCGGCCTGAAACTGATGGTATGAAGAAATGTATGCGGTGTCAAATACTGTACAGTGCTTGTTTGAATATTTAAGGTTGAAAAAAAAAGAAAAACTAAATAAGGTCGAACCATCAAATTGAATTGAGAAGCCGAAGAAATGTCATAGAGTGTTCGAATAACTTTTTGTTGGTGGCGTTCTCTGGGTGAATGGATAAGTAAAAGTGATTCTAGAATTAACGGGCTCAAAATATGAGTGCACGTATGCCTCGGGGGCGCATTATGAAGCAGGTCTTTCTACATCAAGTCAAAAGTCTATGTCGGAGAAATTACAATGCGCAGATTTAAAAACAAAACAAAATGGGGGTTCTAGAGAGAGAAGGAAAGAGAGATACACACTAATTCGCTCAAAAAAATATTGATGTTAAATTGATTGTCTAAATGTGGCCCGTTTATTATAATAAAAAAAATAAGTGTTCCGGCCATAATAAACAATATAAATCCTAAGAACAAATACGGTATGTAGTGCTATAAACTATATATACACCAAATACCAATTATTCATTCATTTATTAATCTATCACGTAACAGATACTAGAATTCACGGGCCAAACGTGGGGGGGGGGGGGGGGGTGGAGTAGGGAGCTTTAAAATGCTGGACTTTTTACTACAAGTGTAAAAAAATAAAATAAGGAAGAAGTCCAGCTAGAGTGGAAAAAAAATCAACCGATGTAGCCGGTAGATTAAGCTTGCTGCTAGTTTATAATAGTTTGTCCTATAATAGTTTATATCCGTTATTTAATTTAAAATTTTTCTAATGATATAATTTAAACCCACACAGATCTGACACATAACTACAATATTAAAGATTCAAATCAAAAGTTATACGCATTAACTGTACAGTGTTTCCCAAACTGTGTTCCGCGGAACCCTGGTGTCCCAAGAGGCCTGAATAGATGTTCCACAGACTACTTGAATAATTTACTAGAAGCCACCGCTAAATACTCAGGATGTGCGAAGTGTTCCGCTAAATACTCAGGATGTGCTAAGTGTTCCGTTAAAGAAAAAGTTTGGGAAACACTGCATTAACAATACCAAATGTAATATAGGTCCCACCTTGTAGAGAATCGTCGTTTTTCCAGCAGCATCCAAGCCTAGCATTAACACCCTGGTGGGTGTACCAGTTTGAAACATCTGCACAGCTTGGTACAATTTGGCAAGAAGAAGACCCATACTTGATTATCCGTTTGTAATTACTGTGTGTCTCTGACTGCAGTTCAATCGAGTCTTGTGTTTGTGTGTTTCTTTGCGTAGCGTGATCAGCTCTAGAACTTTCATGACACTTACTAGTAAGTTGTGCCTTATATAGACCAAACTTTATCAACTTATTTTCTGTTGCGTTGACTGTCATGTTGTCAGTTCATTCAATTCAAATAACGCCAGGTGTATATGTTCCACGTCATTGAGCTTGATATATTGCTACGGGAATATCCGGTTCTTTTTTTTTGTTTGTTTTTATCTCTGACTGCATTCGAATCAATATAGGCCGTGTGGCTTAAAAACGAACATGACTAATTGTTTAAAATAAAATACGATTCTAATCAGGTAATAGAGCTGATACTATTCAATTATAATTATTTGATCTATGTTAAATGTAGTTTCAGCATAGTTCGTTAAACAAATTTTAAAAAAGTAATTTTCGATCTTTATAATATGCCTTGTTGCTATTATTTATGATCTTAATAAACCTATTTTTATTATTTTCATCAACAAAAAAGTTTCCCAACTTTTGACTTGCGAGGTTGTCTTCCCCGACCAAAAATTTAAGTTCTGTGGAGTTTAGGGGAGCGTTGCAAGAGCCAAGCGCTTTCTAGCAATCTACTACGGCATCCTCTTTAGAAAACTAGGCATGTAAAAATAAGTCAAATAAAGTAAAGTATTATGAAGTTTGAGAAAATATCGAGGCACAAGTTAATGTTTCGGATGTTCCTTAAGAATTGAAGATTTTGGGAATTGAAGATTACATCCTAGCCCAAACCTCCCGCAGGACGACGGAGGATGGCCAAAGGCAAGGCATCATTGTCTTATATTTTAATTGAATTTTCTCTTGAAATAATGAGTTCGTCGATTTTGTAGCTGGTCGTATTTAGAAGCTGAAACGAGTCCAACGATTTAATTTTTTTTAAGTTTTTTGTTTGTTTAAATTTAAAAAAAAATATTGAGACTGAGCAAAGGATAGGAAAGTTTGAAATAAAAAAAAAGGATTGGGATTCAAATCTCATCTCAGTTGTCCACCTTCTAAACGCTACAGTTTCTAAGTTTTACACATTTTCGTGCTTAGACGGTCGCTAATTTCAGGGTTTTTAACATATCTTTCTTGGTGCTGATAACTTTATGGGTATTTGCGTTAAACTGCCTATCCTAGACAAAGAAATAATGAATCAGCCTCGTCTTGGGTACAACGTTAGACTCCCTATGCCAAACAAAGAAATAAACAGCTCGTCCTGAGTAAGATGTTAAACCGACATATCCTGGACATTTCCGACGTAGTGGATTTGTGTGCTTGTGGGGTTTGAAAAGTAGGGACTTGTTGCGAGTTGTATGCTACAGAATGTTTCTATGCCATCTCCAGAGATCTAACTACCTCCAATGACTTTGTGAGGTCCAGAGATGAGTACTCTAAAATTCACTACCTAATCTCTGGGGATGACATGCCACTAATGCGTCTCTGATACCCTCATTCTTGTTTTCGAGGACAGAAACTGCTCTGAAATGGAAGTCTTTAGCCAGCTATTTCCATCTCCGAATATACCTGCCAACACTCTGTCCCGTTTCCTGTTTACAATGGACCTCATTCAACAATCGTAAACAAACAACATTTTGTCACGTGATCATATTGATAAAACAACGAAAAAACTGTCACGTGACAGCCATCGTGTATTAAAAATTAGATCGTAATTTGTATAGAAGAGATAGAGAACCACGTGGCTAAATGTTGTTTGTTTACGATTGGTGAATGAGGTCCATTGGATAGGAGCAGCATAAATCCCATTTGTTTGACACATCGATACAGTCCAAATCGGTACAGTCAGATATCAATTCATACACACCATGTGAGAGAAAGTTACAGAGAAAATCGAACTTCTCTCTTTCTAGCCGATTAATCTACATGATTTTTGTACAATAATTTCTAGTAGGCTAATCTTATAAAACACTACAGGAAAACATTTCTTTATGATAGGCCTTATTGTACAAGAATGACAAAACAGTTCACAATAACACAGTACACAAACACACACAAGCTGAACTGTGTATTTGGACACATTAGTACAGATCAGTTGACAGCACACAACAGGTAAGACGTTTATCTGACCTAACCTGGACAACAATTAATTAAACAGTCTCGTCCTGTGTATGACGTTAAACTGAACTTTCCTGGTTAAGAGACAGAATGGAGTATTTGAACAAATCCAACATCATCAGGAAGTGAGAGGGTGACTTGCAGAACTGTGCAGGGCAGACAACTGACAGATGCATACCAAGTCCTTATAGTATTGAGACAAGGCTGTTTACACTCTCGCTTCCTGTTCCTGCTAGCAATGGATTTGTCATGAAGACAGCAACAGACCAGAAGCAATATTCAGTGCAGACTGTGGAAACAGCTAGACGACCACCCCGACTTTCAGATGATCTTGACTTTGCAGATAAATAGGCTCTTCTCTCAGACACCCAGCAGCGCAGGAAAGGACAACCCCACCGTTTCGGACAATTTTAGCTCAACTGGGTTTTACCCTGAACAGAGAGAAGAGCAAGGTGTTCAGACTAAAAGTGAACAACAACATTTCAGTCCAAGGTGAAGTGCTGGAAGAGGTGGAAAGCTTCACCTTAGCAAATGTCAATGATAAAAATATTTCATTATTAGCTCTGTTAACGTTCTTGTCAAGATGTAAACAGCCTCGTCTTGGGTAGTATGACATGGGACTATTTTAGTCAGCAGGTATGTATATAGTATATATAACACATTGTTGTTTGAAACCTTAAAGGTGACCCCAGGCCGGTTCCAGATATCGTTTGTGGCTTTCAAATCTTCAATACATTGATTTTTTTTTCTCCTTTAACTAAATATTGAACTTGTTTTTATTAGAAATCTTGAAAAATTCAAGAGTCTTTTTTATTCTTCAAGCATTTTACTTTCTACAGACCAAATTTGTTTTTTTCAGAAAAGAGGGGCACTCTTTTATTTGTTCAGTTTTTCAAAAACTGATCACGCAGAAAGCCATTCCTGCAGTACAGCACATCACAAAGTTAGATTGCCTGCAGTTAATAAACTCTTTCAATTCATTCACTATTAGTAAGCATGCACAGCGGACACATCAACATGGGCCTCGTGCAGTCTGTGCATGCGCAAGTTTCAATTTCAAATTAAGCTTACGCAGCCAGCAGCCTAGCATATAGCAATAAAAATTCACATGACCCCAATGTTTCCTGACAAACTTGTTTTCAATTGAGATGAAAGTCAATGTTCAATTCTTACTGTCAACAAAAGAAAACATTTAAAAATATTTTTTTTAAAAAAGCTTATACGAAGTATAATTGTATCAGTTAGTTTTGATCCATCATGTAATTAAATTTGTAATAGATCTAGACCAACAACAATAAATTTGTAAGATTAGAAATATTTTTACCAATTGTTATTGTTAAGCGCTATTCCATGGTTTATCTGGATCAGTTGGGAAAATTGGGGTGGGGAAGAAAGAGAAAAAAGGGAAACGACCTGAATTCGAACTCATGGCTCACGCTTCCTCAAACCGACATAATAATCACTCTGTTATTGAGGAGCTTATGACTATAGAAGATTGTATAGTTATATAGTTTGTTTCAAACTTACTATAAAGCGGCGATCTATAAAGGGGACTAATGCAGCTTATACCACCACTTCAGTCATGTACAATTTCTTTCCCTTGTTCAAGATACCAAAGAAAACTATTAATTACCAATAGTTAATTAAGTAATTGTTGTTGTTGTTTTTTTATTGATTCTTGTGTTGTCTGGTTAAAGAAATAATTGTGCAAAATTTCAACTTGATTCAAGATTGGGTGTCGGAGAAAAAACTTTGAGAAATGTTTTACCAGACAGACAGACAGATTGACTTAATATAAGCTTTGTCATTAAAAAGTTTTGATTCTGACATGTCCAATTATGAAATTCTTCCAGTCTTCTCTGGGTTTCGAACCATAGATCTCTTAAGCCTAACCCCTCAGCCACCTCGCACCCTAATAGCTGATTAATGTTTTAGAATTTAGATTGTCTGTAATATAAATGCGGCTGTAAGTACTTGTTTACTCTCAACAGAATAAAGTACTCTCCATGAAGGTCAGCATAGCTAACGAATAAAGTATGGACATGTCCTCCTTTTTGCCGGAAAACTAATTATGTTTCTCTAATTAAAATCTAGATCTAGACCTTTTTAACTACAGATGACGAGTAAACTTTTTGTGGCATTTTTTATTGATTTTAAATTCAACATCAATTTAATTATTTTAATTAACATTTGAAAAAATAATGACACATTCTGAAAGCTAATTACAAACAAAACAAAAAATAAAACAAGTAGGTAGATCTATATACACATTTAAAAATATATACAAAAGTATTACAAATATACAACAAATTATAATATGAAACAGTTACGAAAATAACAATGATATAGTGATGTATCCTGAAGTAGCGTTTCTCAACTCAACCTTTCATTTGTGAATAGATTACTGGTACTCTCCTTTCTGAATAAACATGGCATGTTACTTATAATAGCAGCACTAAACTATATATATATATAAGTTGTAGCCATCATTTGTTTAGGTACCAAAGCTTCAAACTAATTAATGTTACATTTCTTTTTTAGTGACTTCAATCAGTTTTGGTGAAGCAATATCTAGTTTCAATATGTTCTAAGTACACTTGACATAATGTGCACAATTTATTATCCATAAAAAGATAGATCTATTAGAAAATAATTTTGATTAATGGCCATCATTGAACTGCTGACTGGGGTAATTTGGATAATCTTACCATACGTAGACTCTATGACTGTTTCAGTCAAAAGAATGTTTCCATTAAGTAAATTTGCATTGAGTTCTAATTAGCATGATGTCAGCAGTCATATAACCATAACGGCAAATAGGAATTAGTTTAAAGTTACCAAACTAAAATGTATTGAAGATTTTCAGACATCTTATCTTATCTTATCTTATATAACACAGACGTTACTTCAAAAAAGAAGATGATTACGTCCTACGCGTCATGCATTTAGTCATGCATATTAACCAATGACTTAAATTCTGCCAAGTCACTGGTTTTTCTGACTAGCTCAGGCAACCCATTCCATGCTCTAATAGCACTAGGGAAGAAGGAGTATTTGTACAAATTTGTCCTAGCA